GCCATGTTCTCTTTGAAGGCACTAGAGGGAAATCTGTTATCTGCCTCTTTCCGAGCTTCTGGCACTGCCAGCTATCCTGGGCATTCCTTGTCTTATAGATGCAATACTCAAATCTTTTATCTCCAATGTCACATGGTCTTTTCCTCTATGTGTATCTGCATCTCTTCATCTCTTCTAAGGATACCAGTCAGATTAGTGCCTACCCCAATAACCTCATATTAACTTGATTAAATCTGCAAAGATCTTATTTCCAAATAAGGTAAATGTATTTTGGGAGGGAATATAATTCAAATCACAGTAGAAGATGGGGCAGTAAAGGCTATACCTCCAAGTTTCTCACCAAGACATTCTGCTGCTACTAATCCCTTTCAGGCCACTGAGCATTTTAATACTATAGCTACTACTACTGGCAAATCAGTTCCTGTGGAAAAAATTGCATTATAGATGAAGCCTTAATAGGACCTAAGCCTGCCAATCAGCACAAGTACATAATTGTTAAGGAGAAAATTTAAAGTCTTATTTTTTCCTCAACTTTCAGAACACATTTACTTTTTTTTCCATTTGCAGATTCTTGAAAATTTTTCTATCTTCCTAGTTGATTTTAGCCCATTTCTCTTTTACAGCTAAATTGTACACACACACACACACACACGCACACACACACCTAAATTGTGCACACACACAAATTCATATGTTAAGGTCCTAATATCTAAAATTGAGAATGTTACTGTTTCCAGATGGCGCCGTAAATGAGGTGATTATGGTAAAATGAAGCCATACAGGTAAGCCCTACTCCAACATCAGGTATTCTCATAAAAGAGGAAATTACAGCATAACACAGACAAAGGGAAGACCACTTAAAACAAAAAGAAGATGGCTATCCATCTACAAGCTGGCCTAGAAGCCTCAGAGAAATCCAACCCAGTATCTCTAAAACTATGATGAAATAAATTTCTGTTGTTTAACCCACCCAGTCTGTGATATAATCAGTTGACAACTAAGCAAGGACAATTAGTTAGCTGCTGATGAAGAAGGATACTGGTAAGGCTGTATTATCCCTCAAATCAAAATCATCTTATGTAAGATTAAATAGATATTTTACTATGAACCAATGTCTTTATTTTTTAGGCATATGAGAAACTAAACTTGTCTAGCCTTGACCAAGATCCCACATGCTGTAAAATATGTACTCAGCAGCCAGCATTGAACTGCATATAATCATCATTCCATAATAATACACAGAGAAAATGGGAGAGGTAACATTTAGATATGCAAGAGAAATGAAATGGCAAAGGTTATGACTCAGAGGAAAAATTTCTACAAAACAGAAAACCATCACACAAAACAGTGAAGTAATTTACTCAAGTTCAAACTTAAACCAAGTTAAATTAGAGACTCTAACTCATATATTTTTTCTTAAGAGTTATAAAAATACATCATATCAAAATATAACCAAAATTTGGACTTGCACAATAAATGAATGTACTTAACACTACTGAACTGTGTATTTAAAATTGAGATGTTAATTTTGTGTATTTCACCACAATTTAAAAAAATAAAACCAGAATAGTTTCACATTATGAAAAAAATATAAATTACTACACATAATTTCTATTACAGAAATCTCTACCACAATAAATCTAATAAATCTACTTATAAAATAGGAAAATGTGTAAAATACTTAAGTTTAACAGTTGTTTAGAATTTTATGAAGTAGCTTTGTAAACTTTTCATTTTTTCCTTCTTTTCCTAGTTTTAGAAGTAAAAATGCAAATGGTATAATAGTGAAACACAGTAATTTAAGTTAGTCTAAATCTACTCTGAAATAAGGGTAAACTAACTAGGTTATTGCTTACTGTATTCTGTCAGCAATTAAAGTAAGCAGCATGGAGGTAGTCACTGTGACAATTCACAAATATTCAAGTCTTCTCTCTTCCTGGATATGTGACTGAAATTAGAGATGGCCACATAGTATGCTCTGCTCCTTAGAGTAAGAGTGGAAGAGATGTGTGATATTTCCAAGCAGAAATTTTAAGAGTCAATATGGGCTTCAGCACATTCTCTTCTTTCCTCTGCTATAGTGACTGGCAATATTTTAAAGGCTGCTGGTTCCTCAGGTCGGAAGCCAGAAGAAATATAACAGTGAAAAGGAACAGTGTTAACAGCAAGCCCACAAAGGACAGAATAAGCAAAAATAAATCATATTAAATCACTGAAATTCTGAGAATATTTGTTAACACAACATAGCCAGATTACTCCCTGACCTGATACAGAACATAAACACTGTACAAAGAAAAGAGATGTGGATTCCAAAAAATGAACCATGGAAGAATAAGCAAAGAATGACAAGACTCTCCTCTGCTCCTGCCAGAGAAAGCTGCTCTGGCAGAAGGTTTCTACCAGGGAATATGCAGGGTATATTCCTGCATATTTACAGGAATATAATAAATGCCTCAGAAAGTAATAAATGCCTCAGAGTTGAACTGTAGAACAAGTATTGCTGCTATGGGCCGGTTCCCAAAGTTGGGGAAAAGCCTTTATTCCACCTACCCCACCCCACTGAGAGCGAAGTGCTATGGAAACCTGGACTCCTCCAAATGCAACCTCTATCATTTCAGACATTTGAAGAAATATTCAGTCTTCAGAAAATACTGTACAAAAAGGTTTATCCATGTGGGACCAGGGCCTATTTCTTGCCATTTTAAGTTCATCAGCTGCCAAATAAGTTTGGAGCCATCCTAGAGAATTTCACCCAGAGGAGTTACTCAAGAGCCAGTTACTCCTGCTACAGCTCCTTATTTACTATTGCCCTAATGAAAGTCAAGAGGGAATTGAATTTTAAACGGAACCAATTAGCTTCTGCTGGTCAGCTAGATGAACATATTACAGAACTCAAAACTGGGAATCTATCAGCTCATTTCATTTGTAACTTTTAGGACCACTGCATACAACTTGGCAGGTTGTTCTTTGCATAAGAGCACCCAACCAAGGAGAGGAGTGGTGGACAACTGAGGTTTCACACTCTACAAAGAGTAACTTTTCTGCACTTTGTACAAAGGCACCTTTTGTTTGCCAAATTTGTCGACATGCACCATATAGACTGGATTTCTATCCCCTATGCATGTTTTCCAGAATTTCTAGAAGATCACATTTATAGGTATTACTGAGGAGATGTGCTCCATTTCTGATCATTGTCAACTCCTGATTCTTAAGAATCCTTGAGGTTTGATCCTTTCCCTATTAAGATTTACCATGATAACCTACAGTGAGTGTATTTGTGAACTTAGAACCCATACTACCACCTTCCTGTGCCCAGTAAGAAATCAGGACAGGTCACTGGCAAACAAGGTACCAAAGATAATTCTTTTGCCAGAATTCTAGCTCCTGGCAGAATTTCTCCATTGAGATGGTGTTAAAGAGAACTTCTGTATTACTTCACTGACCAAATAACATCATTTTGATGTGCTAAAGTCCAGGGCTTCTTAACTTTGATGCTATTCATATTTTGAACCAGGTAATTCTTTGCTGTGGGCACTATTCAGTTCATTGTATCATATGTAGCAAAATTCCTGGCCTTTGCCCACTAGCTGCCAATAGTGCTACTCCCCCCTACACTGAGACAATGAAAAATGTCTCCAGACATTGCCAAATGCCCTCTAAGGGTGCAAAATCACACCAGTTTAACAACTCCTATATTAGATCTCCAGTTTCACTTTCAGCAGGTGGTATGACAAAGAGGTGCATACTAGGACCAAGATGCCCATTCCCATCTCCATACACTCTTTGACATTTGAATCTGATCTAGAGCTTCCCCTGAGATCCCACTGGCAAACAAATTAAGAAACTCTGCCCAGAGTTGAGAGGCTAGCCTGATTCCCAGCAGGTGGAAAACAACTGAACCTTGAATTTTTGCTTATTTTTCTTCCCCTATTCCACTATTCTCTCCTAATAACTTACACTTCACTTCTGCACTACTCCTAGAAATAGAAACATGATTCAACTGAAGTCACTTAGATGATTTATCTTCCCACACAAGATACGGACCAAAAGCAAATGTTCACTGACTGCCAGGTCTAGTCTCTAACACCCCTCCATCCTCCACATTTCACCCCTCACGTAGATACTCCCTGGCACTGGCCGGAACAGTCCAAACTGCTATATTTCCAGTGGCCTCTTTAGCTTAATTATTTGGATGACCATGGGGATAGAAACCCAGACCGACCGACTGACCTGACTAACTTACATTCTGACAAACTAACTTACACTTCTTAAACCAGAAACATGGCCTAATGCTTGTGTGAAAAATAGATTATGCCTTCAATACTGCCTACATAAATGTAATACATACATAATTTGAAATTGCCAATGAACATTCCTTTTATTTTTTATCATACCTCAATAATAACATGGAAAACAATACTTTTAAAAGATGTGAAAAAGTGCAAAAGGCCTTTTAATCAATGACCGAAGTTCACAAGTTGTACTAAGAGATTTGTGTTCCACTTTTACAATCTTGTAGATATTCTTGTACATGCAGACATAAATTCAACATAACCCCACAGTAAAACAAAATGAATTAGAAATGAAATAAATGTCCACTAATGAAGACAAAATAAATTATAGTACTTCTATACAACAAAATAGTATATGGTTATAAAACATAACTACACAAGATTTGAATGTACTGATATTAGATGATCTATTAGATACACTGTGAAAAAGGGTTACAAAAAGACTATGTAGTGGCTTCACTTTTGCGCAAAAAAATAGCTATGCAGAAATTTTTGCTCTTATACACAGGCTATATTTATTTCTAGAAGGACATAAAAGAAATATATGTGGCTGCCTCTGGAAAAAAAGTTGGGTCTGGAAAGGAAGGAATCTTGCTTTTACTGTATATTCTTTGAAGTTTTAAAATTTTTTATATTGCACATAAAGTTTAAAGAAAATTAATCAATATAAAAAAGCAAATATTCTATATAGGTTGACAGAATTCTTACCTTTCTCTGCAAAATTTAAGTGAATGTAGTATGGCAGGCCTCTTTTGACGTAAATTCCATAAGTGTAAGGTGTCATCAGCCAAGGCACTCACAAGAGCTCCCTTAAAAATAAAGTGTATTTTATACATACCATTGTACATATATTAATGCTATGAATAACTACCAAAAAATTTCAAATTTGAAAGCTTTCTGCCAATAGATTTAATTCTAAAAAACATTTACCTTACTCAATTTCTAAACAGCAGGTGTTGAGTGTATTATATGTATATCTATGTAAATTTGTTTTAACTTCTTCAATAATTTAAAGTATACTTTAGTATTTTATAAGTCAAAAGTATACTAGGATCCAGAGAGGTAGTATGGTTAAGATCTAGCTATTTAAAATTTGAGATCAGACTATAGATCTGGCAGTACTGTAAATACTCCCTTGATTAATAGATCAAAATATGATACAAAGAAATCTTATTCATTTGGCTGAAGGCAAATCCTTTTGAAAGCACTTTATCTAATCATAATTTACTACTAGAGTGGTATGGAAAACAAGGTCAACATTCAGTCAGCACACTGTAACTTCAGTATCCAAGTGGTTAAAGCAGAGTTAAAACATCTGATTCAATTAAGCACTATTATTTATGAGGAAGCAAATACTTGGCAGCATGTGAAAATCTTCTACTTGTTCAGTCTCATCCCAGACAAAAAAAACTGGAATCTACTGAACAAAGACCTAGTTGAGTGGACTTCTTAAAAAACTTCTGAGGTGAGTAATGTGTGAATAAGATTAAAACTCTCTAGGCTAAAGACTAATTTATTAAAACATCTAAATGTTCTTCCTCAAAGGAGTCAGATGCCCTTTATTAATACTAAAGATGAGTAAGACAAGAGACATAATTTAAAGAATTTATATTCATTTCAAAAAAGATTTACAATCCCAATTCTTTATGTTATTATGAGAAACCCTAAAATATTCCCCTTTTAAAATAAGAGTTTTTCATCTCTCCAGGAAGATTAAAACAGCTGTCAAGATAAGATTTACACGAAACGATCTCTCCCACTCCTTTCCATATTCAAAATCGTATGACAGCCATTCTACTGTGCAGCTCCTATTGCTACAGCATGACAACTGGAAAGCTGAAATACATAATGTCCATACGCTCTCCTTTTTTACTACAAAGCATCTGCTTACCTATACTCAGACCATGAAAAACCTATACAGTCACAAATCATTTAGATAATTTTTATATTATCATCTGTAGCATTTTACTCTCATGATGCCTTTCATAAATTCTGCTATGAATATTTATCAAAAGCCAGAGGTATTCAGTAATTTATTTACTCTCATATGTAAGAATTTATTCCATGGATCCTAAGGATTTAGGAGCAAAAAGAATGTTCATAAACTATCCTCTCTCTTATCTAAGGATTTCAGAGCCTTTTCTAGAGTACTGTAATTTCCTTCCTATTCCTCTGATCAGCTTTCCTTGTCTGTCACCACTTACAGTAAAGATCTATTCTCAGAGGTGCTCATACTTCTTAAAAATCTGCAACCACAGTGTTTCCTGTGCTAATAAAAAGGTGTTTTCTCTAGCTCTTTTTATACTTTATACTCTTACCAAAAAGAAAGGCATCATCAATTACTTCAACTAATAACTGACAAAACTTGAGACAATAATCACTTCAAAAATTAAGTTGGACTTCTATTTTCATTTCAAAGCAGTTCTCTAGGGCTGGATGGGGATATAGCTTTATGATGCAGTGCTTGCCTAGCATTCAAAATGCACAAGGCCCTAGGTTTGACCCCCAGCACCAAGACTGGAAAGAAAAAAGAGAAAGCAAGGGAAAGAGCATGTGAATATAAGAAAGTAATTCATTAAAATAATTCTTTTATTTATAAGCTCAGTATTTTTAGAATATTTCATATAGATTTCTGTATGTTACATGACTTTCAAACTCTGAAATAAAATTTAAATACATTGGCTGGTACCAAAAATATTTACCTTACACCACTTTATTCACAACACTTCTTTGAAAAAATACATGATGCAACTACCCATGATGATGCCTTAGATTACTATTGTCTTTGATCCACAAGAAGTTATTTTTGTTCAAATATTTAAACATCGATATAAGCAAGAAATTATAGCCTGATTTCAGATCAAACTAAGAAAGAGTGAAACAATTCACTAACCTCATTAATCAGGAACTGGAGTTGGATTACTGCAGCTCCACTGTCATGCTGGCAATAACATTCTACTCCAGGACGACCAAAGCTATTATTACTTCCATTAAGGAGTGTTTGGTGTATGTGGGTGTTTTTATTTTTGTTTAAACTGATTTTTAGTTATATAAAGGACTAATATTCTAATGACCTACTACTATTCAATACAGGCCACTTACTGAAGTTGAGATTTCAAGTTATTACATATTAAGTTTCACAGATTACAGGTCTATAAGAAATAAGGAAACTGTTCCTTCTGGAAAAAAAAAAGAATATTAAAATCAGCAATATACAAAAACAAGACAACATAAAGTTAATACACTTTACTCTGGTCCAAGCCATTTTCTTTCTCTTAAAATACAAAAAGAGGAGAAAAGGTCATTAATTTACAAAGCACTGAATTTTGCCCAAATCAGCAAACAAATATAAAAGTAGGCAAATGTCATTTTGGAATATTGCTTTTAGATGTAATAAACATTTTACTCTCATTTTTCTCAAAGTTATTGATTTCATTCTTTTTCTCTTTGAATAGAAAGGTATTATACAGCTGCAGCCAGTTCCAAAAATCCTACCACCAAAATGGCCCTACGTATTGGATATGGGGTCGGGGAGAGTTCAAAAGTTTAAAAATAAGTTTTAAAAATGAACGCTGCTGGGGATTTAGCTCAGGGGTTCAGGGCTGGGGATTTAGCTCAGGGGTTCCGCCGCCTGCCTCGCAAGTGCAAGGACTCGAGTTTGATTCCCAGTACCAAAAAACAAAACAAAACAAAAAGAACGCTGCAAACATATAGTCATGAAATAGTAGCAAGAAAAAAATAACATAAATTTTCGAGCATGTAGTCGTCAACCTCGGTAGTATGCCTGAAATCCAGCCCTATCCTAAATGTCATAAACCCAAATTGCCAGAGAAAATGCCTTAGTAGGTTAGTTTATTTTAGGTATCAGAGGAACATCTGAGGCACAGTGAGAATTGAAGGTCTCTACTTTCAAGTCAGTTCATATGCCAGTTCTGTCATTACTTGGTTTGGGGAAGGGGGATATGATTATTACATATCTCACCTTTCTAATCTATAAAATGCAGATAAGACTTATCTAGTCTAACTTACAGAACTGCAGTGAAAAACCACATAAACTGTACTCACGGATGGTAGTCATTACCATGATTTAACAATATATTCATTACATCGCTAAATCTGAATGTTTCTGCATACTGTACATCCAGAAAAAGACAAAGTTTTATAAATAGAGGAAGAAAAGGTCCAGTATTTAATTTTATAAATTCCTATAAACTTGTATTTATGCATCAATTATAAAAGTCATTAGCTTTACGTATTATTCATGCATAAATACACTATGGCGATAACAATTTTTTTTTTGGTACCGGGGATCAAACTTGGGACCTTGCATTTGCGAGGCAGGCACCAGAACCACCGAGCTAAATCCCTGGCTCTTGGTGATAACAATTTTAAAAGTACATTTGTTTCTAGAATTTAAATTAGATGAGATTTAAGGGGAAACAATAATGAGTTTTGAGTGTTTCTCATTTTTTAAATGTGTTGTTCGGTAGAATTAAATGTGTTCAAGAAACCAACCGACCCCAAAAAATACCTGTAATAGAAAAAAGAAGTCACAATACATACTGTTCAATCATTTTCAACTTTCAGAATCAAACAGAAAGTTTATACTAAATAGACATGACTGAGCTGGGAAAAGAAAGGAGCAAGGAAAAGGAAATAAGCAGGGGAAAAGTAATGGGTTAATATGCTTATTCTAAAAAATGGGGTTTAAAAAGTAGGGGAGCAAGAGCTAATATGTATAGAGCAAGAAATACTGAATTAACTATAATAAAGTTAGTGAAATATATGGAAATAATCAGCAGTGAAAGTAAAAATGATGACCTGACTACAGTGGGAGCAGAGGAGAGATATGAAGCAAGTATTCATTTATCAATCCAGGAAATCAACAGATAATTCCTAAGGTTGATAAATTAATAAACAGTGGCAAATCATTTTATTTAAAGTTAGCAACATGACCAGAATCAGCTAAATGGTTCCCTCTGGGCAGCAGGAATATGCATGGGCAAGGCAAAGCACATACTTTTCATTATAAACTCTGTCATGCTAATCTTTAAACCATGAACATAACTTTATAAATTCAGTTTCTTTTAGTGTGTTTTCAACACGGACAAAAGTAGCGTAAGTACAGAATCAGACAGCATTGTGAGTTTACTTCATTATGTTACTATAGTTGTCTCACTAACTCACACTATCACTTCCAAAAAAACAGAACTGAGATCCTTGTTTCCATGCTACTTCACACAATGCAACAAAAAGCCACATGTCGAGTCTTTCTCCCTTCTCCATAACCACAGATGTTTTCTTTCCAACTCCTACTTCTTTCATTATTTACAAATTTGGGGTTATTAGGTAAATTAAACGGGAAACAAAGCAGAGTTTGTTGCACTAAAGAATCTAACTTGTCCCCATGTTTTCCCACGCTGTAGCTCCTAGCAAGTAAAGGCAGCAAGCAATAGAATGATATTCCTTGGCCCATTCACTATTTTGTTTTTTGAGAACTTTAACAGGCATTAAGGATTCAAATCATAATCTTTATCCTCCAGAATCTCTAAGTCTACCAATAGAAATATAAAAATAATTTAGCAGTTAAATTCACAGATATCCTAAAGTATAAAAGAATTTTGTGGATAAAAATGTTGACTGAAAAAAATTTTTTTCAGTTATTTTCAAAATATGAGTTCTTATTCAAAATGTGAGCGTTTCTTACACTGTTTCAACATCCCCAGACAGTTCTTTTGTTTTTCTTCTTACTTGTTACATAGTTATACTGGATTCTTTATGTATACATTTCTTTTCATTGGTACATTTTGTGACTAAACTATATAATTGAAAGCAATCCATCCTACAGGTTAGTATCCTTTAGGACAATGGGGAACATGGCAATAGGATCTCTTTGCCCTCAGAGCCTGGAAAAGTATATGGCACATAGTAAATACCTAACAAATATTTATGGATAATTAAGTGTTTTAAAATCTAAGAGACATTCTTATATCCAGATATATCTTTTTAGGTCTAATGTTAACAAATTTTTGAAAAGCGAAAGTATAGGATAACATATTCTAGTCCTATCTTTACCAACAGATTGAAGTACACTATCTCTAGTGTGTATTATATCTCTTAAAATTTCACAAATCTACATTTATAACCTGTTCATTTTACCTTCCAATCATTTGTTAAATTGTTATTATAATCACAGCAACAGTTTCTCTTACTGCCTATACCAGCTTCTAGGATTGTCAGCAGGGTAGAATGAAAATGCAGTGAAAACAGCAACCAACAGAACCAGCCAACAATGAGTTCTGAAAAACCTGAAAATACAGTTCCTGAGTAAGTTTTCAATGCTGTTACTACCACTGTGGGTTATGAAAATGGCTGACATGCATACTGTGACAACCTTTGCTTTTATGCATATTGTAATATCAAGACTGGTACATACTTAGCAAATTATTAACATTTTTGAAGCTCATGGATGTTCCCAGAGTATCTTTCATCAGTTCCTGTCAACTAAGACAAAGAAAGTCATAGCATTGTTTTAATCTCTACAAAGGTGACATATTTAATTTCCCAACATAGGTAGGCATGGGAGATTTTGTAAAGTACATATAAAATAGCAAATGGTGAACTATGACATCCTGGATAGTTTCTAAAAATATGCATTTACATCCTGCAAAGTCTAAAGACAAGTATAAGACTAGTATATTTTCCATAAACTCTTAAGTGTCTAATAAATTATCCTAAAGTATCTAATAAATTATGTATTTAATTAACTATATTATATGTATTATAATATTTGTGAAAGTAACTTTCTTTGAGCAGATACTCTACTGCCAAACCAAGAAAGTTGTTTGGTTTTTTTTGGTACCAGGGATCGAACTCGGGTCCTTAGCTTGCAAGGCAGGCGGTGGAACCACTGAAGTAAATTCCTGGCCCTGAAAGATTTTTGTTTGTTTTTGTTACCAGGGATTGAACTCAGGCCCTTGCACTTGCAAGGCAGGTGGCAGAACCACTGAGCTAAATCCCCAGCCTCCAAGAAAGATTTTTAAAGGCTAATTGTTTCCCCTTGCTACAGAAGAAAAGATAAAGCCAAGGGCACAATTTTAATTTTAAAAACAATAGTATCTTCTGTTAATATTTCCTTTACTGCATTCTTATACTTTTAGCAGAGTACCTATACCACACCTGGAAGTATACCAGTAAGCCTTCAAGGTGTTACTATCCCAAGCTGCCCTACTACTTTGTAAACAAAAGGTCAGTGGATGATTTTCTTCTTTTAATGGCATAAAAAAGTCTTAGACTTTTGTGATTATTCTTCAATAACAAAGTTAAAATATGAGTACAGTTGTAATATGGTCAAAGAATACTAATGAAAACATTTGCGAAAAAGAGGATGAGTTTTAGAATAGGATCAATACTTGTAATTTTGTGTGAACATAAACAAATCACTTGGCATATAAGCTTTGTTTTCTTCAACTGTAATTCCACACAGTTATGACGAATAAATGAAACTGACCAATAAGGGGTAGCACACCATACATTTATCTTAACTGAAGATCATATAACCTATTAACAAAATAAATATTGGAGGTGGAGAGCCAGGCATGGTGGTCCACACCTGTGATCCTAGCACTTGGGAGGTTGAGACAGGAGGACTGCTGTGAGTTCAAGGCCAGCCTGGGCTACATAGTGAGTTTGAGTCTAGCCTGAACAACATAGGAAGACCCTGTCTCAATAAACAAAAAAATATTGGAGCTGGGATATCAGTAGAGCACTTGCCTAGCATGTGCAAGAGCCTAGGTTCAATCCCCAGCACTATAAGAGAATAAAATTGCTACAAGTAGCAGGTTTCCAGGGAAAAAAAAATGGAAAGACGTAAGTGATTTGTGATATTTAAAGCAACTTATCTGTGCTGTGGTGTTCTCATCCAGAAAACATCACTTGCCTTCTTCACCTAATCAGTGTGGTCACCTGAAGTTTA